GCTACATAAGTTTTAAAATATCGGCATATCGGATATCGGCCAAAATCCCAATATCGTGCATCCCTAGATATAACGCCTTTCATGGGCACAAAGGAATCCCAGTACGGGAAAGCACCATCATATGGAAGTTACCAAGAGTTAAAACATATTTCACTTTAGTAAAGGATCTGAAATCACATTAATCTGGACATGCAAGACATTTAACAGTGAAGATGCTGCAAGTTTAATGTTGTTAGAAACATAGTGCATAATTAGTCCCAACAACAAAACCTCGCTGCATAATCCAGTCAGTTCTACTTGGTGCAATGTTGAACTCACTTATTCTGAAATGCAGTAGTAAAAAAAAAAAAAAAAGGAAATTCTATTTTATACATTTTTTTCATCTATGATAAATTGGGTTGCATGGGAGATCATATCAGGTTCTTTTTTTTTCTTACATGGTAATAAATGTTTAAAGAATTAGTTACAGCTAAATGAATCAACAGGGTAATTGACCGTGAACGTATCATTAGTTGGTGGATTATTAGGATTACATCCAGGGGGGAAATATTCCTTGAAACCAAAACATAATCAGGTAGATGCTTTAAATGCTTATTTTTAGAATCTTACATTTTTTGTGGCCCAGGAACCAGATTTTAGAAATTCCTATTAAACTATTCTGTCAATCTGAGCTCCCTAACTGCATCTTGGCTAAACCCGGCTCAATTAGATTCCCAACTGGAAGCATATGCTCCAAGTTGCTGAGCATTTCAATTTCACAAGATGACAGCAACAACAAAAAAAAAAAAAGGTGGGGTGGGGTGGGATAGAAAGGGCGAGAATGAACAAAAATACAGACAGAACAGGAAAATAAACTGAACGCAAACAAGGCCCAAATGGGTCTGTCGCTGACTTCCAGGGGCGGACGGAGACACGGCCCGCTCCAACTACAGGGTCACGTTCCTCAGCAGTAGCTTCCATCTGCAGCTCTCTGTGTGTGCATGACTCTGCACGTGCCCTACAAGCATGTTTTCATTAGAGGTTCGCAGAGCCATAGCTTCCATGCCACACAAAAGGAATTGCTGTACCCCTTTGGAGAAAGAGTCTGAGAGGGAGGAAAACATCAGAGGCGGGATTAAATTTCAAAAAAGCAAGCCAGGGCCGTCACGTCTTTCATTTTCTGTCAGAGAAGCTCACATTTTATTTCCCCGAAAGCAGCGAATACGGAGAGGAACGACTCGGATCATTATCCGGGAAATCTAAACAAGCCTTTGCTGTCCTCGAACAGAGCTCTTATTCTATAAGCACTTGAACATGGAGGGGGGATGGGCTCACAGACACGCGTGTGTGTGTGTGTGTGTGTGTGTCATCGCAGGGCTCCTAGGTTGAGTCTAAGAATGACAGAGTAAAACACTGCAGGCTCTGTGGAACCCAGGAAACAGCCTAATGTATTTATCCAAACACATATCTGCTGAGAGGCCCCTCGGCTTCCACCCCCCACCCCCACTGGCACAGACTTTACCTCTGAAAACTAACACAATGAAGGAGGAAAAATCAACTGGCTGCACAAAAGCTAAGAAATCTAAATATACTGGAAAAGCAATACCAATATTAATGCGAGAATAAGGAAGTATAATTCACTAAAGGTTTCATTTTTCCAACTTTAAAAGCATTCAAAAGATTCGTGAACCTTCAACCTGGTTTTATTTGCTAAATGTGATGCCAAACTTCAAGAAGAAAAGATGGTGCTTTTTATGCATTAAATAAATAAATAAATAGAAGAAAAAAAAAATCGATTTGGCTAATTAGCTGGGCTACCTGAGCAGATAGCCTGGCTAATTAGCCAGCTGATATCAGCCCATTATAGTCCCTGCACCCCTTTATAGAAAGCCCAGAAGGAGAAAAAATTTGTGCATGAAAACAATAGATATCTTTTTATTCTCTTAAGAAGTCTAAGAATTAAAATCAGCTGAATATGGAAATCGACAACTGTTAGGATAAATATTTGCTTTTATTATTTGTTTTTCTATATCAAAAAAATTTGATCTTTTCATATATTTATTTAACTTTTTTGTTTAAAACAAAATCTGAAGCTGCTGTATTTCATTTAAGGTGATCATACCATGAGCATCTCATCTGGGTCCACAACCAGTGCATTAAATCAAAGAGGCCACTTGAGGTACTCTGCGGTTTAGGGACCAATCACTTTTCTGCCTTATTTTTAATTCTTCACTCCTTAACAAGTTAAATGTTCATTTAAGTGAAATAGTTTCAAAACATTTAATGATAAAACAGTAATAAAATGCTTAAATCAGTTATATTATTCACTATATTATACATTATTATTAAGAATCGTTGGCTATTGCTATTTTAATTGATTTGGGTGTAACAAATAACAACCCCAATAAAAATGAAACAGCTCTAGGTGACATGCTGCCATTTTTCACTATATTTTTTGTATGGGAAAACATGTAGGATCTAAAAAAATCACTTAAAATGTTGTTTGTTTTTTTTAAGTAGGTAAAATGTTTCAGAGTGGGTACGAACTGAGGAAGGATCAGTGTGAACTTGGGCATAAAAGAGACCAAAACAGCAAATGTGCGAAAAGGGAAAAGAGCACAGTGGCCAGCACCCCTGATCATTGCAGAAAAAATAAAATAAAGTCTAATAGGCAGGAGGAGATATATTAAACTTTTCCACCTTCTTATAGCAAGTCTGTGTTGACAACGCATGGCAACCAGACCCACCGTGCTGTTTGCCTCAGCAGCCAGGAAAGGACACACTAACTGATCAGAGCAATGAAATATCAGCACAAAAGATGTTATTTTAACCTCAGAAGAAACACTCTGTTTCTTCTGTCTGCTCCAACTGAAATGGGGGAACAAAAAAAAAGGTGCCCTTATGAATTCAGCACTGACTACATTTCTCACTCTAACCTGCATTCATAATAAAACATCTGGCCAAGTTTATAAACCATTTGAACAACGCCTGACATAAGGCAGACTGAACAGGTTATGTTCATCTCCTCTTCCACATTTAACACTCAGTGTGCTGGCAGAGAGGGATTCCCAAAACACAGTAGCACAATTGTGCTTGCTTCCGAACGCCAGAGGGAAGGTAACACGCTGATACAGCTGTTTACATAATTTCATGATCCAGGTTGCAAGAAAAGACTGAATAGATGAGACCCTTAAAGCAACACAATGCTTCAAAAACCTAAAATGTAGAAAAAGCTCAAACCTGGGAGCAGACGTTTCATCTGCCAGAAGTGAAGCTGTGCAGCTGGTTGATCTTTCAGCTCTTAAGTCTGCAGAGACCTCATCTTCCAACTCTGTTTTAGCGTTAATTTATCTAAGAACTTGTGTTTACATGTCTTCTGCCTCTAAATAATGCATATTATACAAATGTATGTTATATTTTTCATATAAATTCACACTTGAATTAAAGGCTGATCTCAGCTTAAATGTCACAAACAGGTTAGTTAGTAAACACCGAGGGTCACAAAGCTAAAAACGGGTTAACTGTTAGACAAAAAGAGAGCCGTCCACAGGAAAGAGAAGCACAGAGCTCCGGTGCGTGTAAACACGGAGAGGGTTAACAGGTCGCATCACCCCGACCCGCTAATGAGAAGCTCAGCTTTACCACATCCGACCAGAGCAGCCACAAGTAAGGAGTCTAATGAATGGATAAAATGAAAACCGGAACGCGGACCAGGCGCTCTGGCATCTCAATGGCAGCCAGAAAAGAATGATAACAGCAAACTGCAGCGATGCTTCAATGGGAAAAACAAAGTAAACGATAAAAGCACCAGAAGTCAGAAGAGACTTTTTATCATGTTTTTTTTTTTTTTTGCAACAAACTGTTTTCCCCGACAGAAATTAGATTTTAACAAACTGAAATTTCCAGAGTTTTCAATCCTTTATCTAAACTTTTTCTACAAAAGTTCATTAAAAATTCAGGGCAGGTATTTCTGCCCCATCCTAAAATATAGAAGCTGGATTGACCAGAAAACAGACAGACGATGGATAGGATGTTTGAACACAGGAGGGAAACAACTCAAACATTTAAATCTAATTCTGTACTTTTTCATAACATGCATGAACCATGTTAAACAATACCTTTAGTTTTATCCTCCAAATATTACTCCCCTCTAATAGTTTGTTCTGACTGGCTGCCATACAGCCACTGAGATTAAGGGAATTTATCTAATGTTAAATTAGGGCTGAAACAACTAATTGGATTAATTGCGATTAATCAATTATTGAAATAATCGTCATTTAATTTAGTAATCGATTAATCGCTAACTGGAATTTTGAGATTGTAAAATGTATCTTTAGCTGACAGATCAAACACCCCTTAAGCAGTGATTAAACCAAAATTATAAAACAAATGTATAAACATTTTGCATTCAAGATAAAAAAAAAAAAAATGCTTTTCTTTCTGTCAATATTCTATATCGAGAAATCCTCAAGCTGAATCCTTTTAGTTTCACCTGGATTAATTTCGTAAAAAGTCTTCTTTAAGGAACCTTTTGCTATCTGATTATCAATCGTTTCATTGAAAATTTATCTGATTATCAATCGTTTAATCGAAAATTTAATTGACAGATTTATCGATTTGCAAAATTATCGTCAGTTGCAGCCCTAGTTAAATGAGCTATAGAGACTCTAGAACATGCTATATATATATATATATATATATATATATATATATATATATATATTTTTTTTTTTTTTGCGTTTAGATAAAAACATTTTTTGTCTGTCAATATTCTCTATCCAGAACTCCTCAAGTGGAAAAGTTTTTGTTTCACCTGGTTTAACTTCGCAAACATTTGTTTTTTAAGGAATCTTTAGTTATCCGATTATTAATCGATAAATTGAAAAAATAACTGACTAATTTGCAAAATAATTGCTAGTTGCAGCCCTAGTTTGAACAGCCTGACTGAGCTCCTGTTAAATATTTTAGATGAAGGGGAAAATTGTTATTCAAGCAAGCAGGCGGAAGTGGATTACACTTACATGTGGACGTGTGGAGGCTGGAAGCGGCTCTGGTTGATGTTGTAATGTGTGAAGGCCTGGGTCGGGTTGGAGCTGTACTCGTCCACAGTGATGGTCACTTTGCCATGAGCCATCCTTCCACCGTATGGACATGAGACGCCGTTCGTTCACCGGGATTCAGCAACGAGCCGTGCAGCAGTCATCCTTCGGAGCCAGCCGCTCAAGAAGCTAAGGAATTCTCCCAGCAGCAGCGGCGGCGGCTGGGCTGGCAGCAGCTTCCTGGCTGACCGACTCGACCAACACTCGCTGCAGTCTGCACCGACAAGAAGAGAGCCATGGATTAACTTCTGAGAGCAGAGAGGATGTAAACAACTCTCAAAACAGATGTTTCAAAGGAAATAAAAAGAAGGGAAAACAAACATGGATTTAAAGTTAAAGGCAGGGGTTTAGAGCTATGCAAAGAAAAACATTAAGATAAAGTTTTAAGAAAAAAGAGCCAAAAACACATTTTTTTTAATAAAAAGTACAAAATGAGATGAGATTGTACCATAATCAATAAAAAAAATACAGGATTGGAATTTAAGTAGCACATTGAGCAAGAAAAGAAAAATTATTCCTGATATAATCTCAAATACATTAGCCTTTAAGATTTAAAGTAGCCAAAAGAGAAGAATTACATGGACCTATTTTGTTGCACTTAAAAAAAAAAGAAAATTAAAAGCACCCCTATGAAACTGGTTGATTTCTTTGTACTACAAAGAAAACAAAAGTAGCTCCAATTCTAAACAGTACCTGGAAGAACTTTTCAATCAGCAGAGAGGATCAAGCATCTTCTAAATAATGTTTCTATAGATGTATGTTAGGAGAACTTGTAAAGAGCGGCGTCTCTCCGCTCGCCGTCCTGTCTTTTCCCTGCACCCTGGGCTTCCTTCCACTCTGACCTTCCTAACTGTTTGTAACGAGCTACCGTGGGCGTTTTATACCAGACGTCCTCATGCATCCACATATCAAAGAGTAAAGAAAAAAATGTCCAACAAAAAGTCTTCCATCTATTTTTCATGTGGGGGGGAAACAAACACCACGCCTCTTCATGTTAACATTTGAAGGTGAAATGACAGGATGCAGTGGAAAAGCTACAGAGAACAACTGAAAACTGGCCCATTTTCTCAGAAGCATCGATTTATTTTTTTTCTGGGTCAGCTGTGAGCTACTTCCTATGATGCATGCTGTTAATTTTAGATTGAGGAAAACACATCCATTCATATTTGCATAATGAAACCCGAACACCAAAGTAAATTAAATGTATCCCTGCAGCACCGGAATCAGGCTTTGCTTTTGAAGTTCATTTAGCTCTCAACTAGAAGCTATACATTCCTGAGACTATTCTCTTCACTCATGTTTTCACCAATGTGCATTGGGCAGATTACAAATATAAAGTTTTTTTTTTATATTACAACCTCTTAAAGCCTTGCTTTTGCAATTTAAGTATCTTTTTAGAGGCAAAAACAATTTTCCAAAAAGTATGATCCAGACCTGGAGTGTACGATAAGTTGTTTCTATTGATCAGCATATATGAGATGGTGGATGGAACAAAAATATATACATTTCCTCTATTTTCTTAAATGGTAGAGGTTATTTATTATTATGTAATAATGTTAATTAGCAGCAACAATGTATTAGTTATTTGCAAATTAATGGTTTTTAGAATCTCAAATGACAAAAATATTAATGCACTGAAAATGTGCATTTTGAAAAAGTTATTTAGCATAAGAAATGCACAAGATTGTTTTTTTGTTTTTTTTGCTTCAAAGGGAATATAAGAGTTGAGGAAAAAAGAAAACTGGCCAATTTTTTTATCAAGACAATAAAGGAGAGGATTAAATAGCAATGCCAAAGATGCACCTATTTATAATATAAATATATATATTATTATTTTATTTATTTTTTTTTGCAGTAAATCTTAAATGAATGTTTTTATTTCCAAGCGTGCAGCATGCCTCTCCTCATGCATGTGTGGTTTTCCCTGCTCGCCTGCCTGCACCGTATGGCTACAGCAGCGACTAGCTCTGTAGCTTAGCCTGCTACCCTGTAATATGAGGCACGCTGGAGCTTCGCGTCGAGCCGCGCTGCTTTATGGCAGCACAATAAACAGAGAGCCTGGTGGAAAACTTCCCAGAGCGGTAAGCAGCAGCAGAAGGGATGACAGAGCCCAATAAAACTGACCCTTTCTAGTATCACCATGCAGACGCGGCATGAGCTATACTATGAAACCGTTAAGCTTTGCAGCATACGTGTCCGCAACAAAAAAAAAAGGAAGAAAACTCAGTTTTATCTTGAACTCTGATCCGGGAATAATATTAATAGGGTCTAATCTGAGGTGCAGAGTGTCAGAGCACCGCCTGCTAACCTCTGGCTTCTTCCTCGTAAATGACAAGCCACCTTTAAACCGACGGCTTTGTGTCAGGAATGCCTCCCCTCCCTCCCCTCTGTCCGTCCGTCTCTGCTTCCTAAAGCTGAAAGGTTGCTCTACCTTCGTCCCGGAGGTTTCTCTTTTTCCTCCCCCCTCCTTTCTGGGTGTTATATCTGGCCGGGGAAAGAGCGTCGGGTCGGGGTCGCCCTCTACGCGGAGGAAGGAGGAGAAGAAGAAGCGGCGGCGGCAGCTGAGGGACTCGGGTCCATGCGGCGGTGACTCCGGAGCCACAGTCTGGGGGTGTTGCTGTTGGCTTGGCGGGTTGGCAGGGGCAGGAACCTTCGACCCGGCGGGACCTCGGCTGGCTCCGGTGGAAAGAAACCAGACGAGGAGGAGAGCGAGAGATAGAGAGCCGGAGAGGAGGGCGAGAGACACTGACAGACGGCGGGGGAGAGAGAGAGCTATAGTAGGCAGCCTCGGTGTGTCTGAGGGGGAGCCGGAGTGCAGTGAGTCGGAGCTGCCACTGGGGTCAGAGAGCAGGAACGAGCACAACCCCCCCGGTCCCGTACGCGCGCATTTACCGGCGGGCACACGCGGGATGGGAGGGGTGATGGCGGAGAGGTGCTCTGTGCTGCTTTCACTGGCCGTCGAAAATTAGACTTTTTACCTTAATTTGAAAGAATGGAGACTTAGAGAACAGATGCAAATATGCATTCAACAAAATAACTGCTGAGTTCGTACATTTTAAAGGAGAATTCCGGTTTTTAACACTTTTAGCCCATTTTCTGTAGTGTCCAGGATGAAATCGAATGATCGACACCAAAATTTTGACAATTGGTCCTGTCTCTGCTTTTTGGCTCATTTAGAATCCACCCCTGGCTGCTTCAGAATGGCTTCCATAGTGCATGTCTGATAATGTCCTTAAAACAACCTTAAACGTTTTTTTTTTTTAAATATGCTACTCACCGGGTTCAATGACGTTCCAAAAAAAGTTTCGTGAAGAAAAAACGTTCCTGTCTTGTTTTATTTAGCATTTTGTAAATCCCAGAACTATTTTTTCCGATACATCACAACCGCTTATAAACTTCCGCTTCCCGTTCGAATCTGAAGCGTTGCACACTCCAGACCACTAGTTGGCGACAATGTCTCTATATACTCCTCCTCAGTATATTCCGGTTCAAAACGGTATCCTCTACCGTCAAACTCAAAGTCCAATATGTTCTCCTCAAGAATCCACCTTTCGTATTCCATTTTCAGAGTTTTTTAAAGTGTTTAACAGAGACGTTAGCACCTCGACGTCGGAGTACACAGAGTGAAGCGAAAATACTACAACTAAGTGTAGTCTTTTCCCCATTTCCGTTTCCGGTGGCGGAGGGATATTGACTATTCCAACAGAACTCAATGGGATTTACAAAATGCTAAATAAAACACTACAGGAACGTTTTTTCTTCACGAAACTTTTTTTGGAACGTCATTGAACAGCGCTGACGACCCGGAGAGTAGCATATTTTAAAAAAATAACGTTTAAGGTTGTTTTAAGGACATTATCGGACATGCACTATGGAAGCCATTCTGAAGCAGCCAGGGGGGGATTCTGCATGAACCAAAAAGCAGAGACAGGACCAATTGTCAAAATTTTGGTGTCGATCATTCGATTTCATCCTGGACACTACAGAAAATGGGCTAAAAGTGTTAAAAACCGGAATTCTCCTTTAATCCATAAAACTAATTATTATTAATAATTACTTAAAAATGATGATTAACTTTACTAAGTTGTTTAGGGTTTTTTTCCAGACAGGGGCATCACTTGGCAGGGGTGGAGCTAGATGGGGGCCCAAGGGTGGTCATGGCCACCTCTATCTTTGTTTCCCTCTAAAGGCTTTTTTATATATCGAAAACAGGTTGTGTGCGCAGGTGTCGCAGTGAACGCAAAGACGTGCCCGCCCCCTTTGCAGACACTCTACTGCAACTCTCCCCAATTATAGGTAACTGCAGACAGTGCCACAGACAGGAGGCCGGCTTGTTTTGTTTGTATGACCAAAATTGCGGAAAACAACTCGTGAAGTTGGACCAGCTAGAAGAGCGAGTTGTAAGAGAACACTGGAACCCTTTTTTCACCTGGATCCACACTCTTTTTTCGCCCTCATGTCCCTCCGTTGTCGGACAAACTTGTCCCCACTTCCTCTCCGCCTCGGTCGTATCTAGACCCATAGCATAGCGCAGGCCACGCTTCAATATTGAGCATAAATCAAAAATGTCTGCGTCAAGCTCACTGCAACACACTGCTGCAGGGAGTATAACCAGCCCTTTATACAGATGGTGGCAACAGTAAAACTCTCAGGTGGAATATTTAAACATTTTAATTTTTCATATATTAACAACAAAAACACTGTGGTTAATTATCCATATGAATATACTAAGATTAAAGATAATAAGTACAAGATTCAAGCAGAAATAGATTTTGTGTTTTATGGAGTAAAGAGAAAATGGTGTCTCTGCAAGTCATCTAGAAGTCTTAAGTGAAATCATAGATACGTAACTATTTTAATAAAAACTTATTAAATAATCAATATAAGTAGATATTAGTACTTGTAAATATCATTTTTAAGCAGAAAGATTAGTGATAAAAGTAGGTAAGTAATGACAATGGAAAAGATGTTTGCCGCAGAACTCAAACCTGAAAGAATTTTATCCACTATACCTTCTATCTAGAAAGCACAGGTGTTTGAATATATTTGTCTATTTGTTAGCAAAGGCAGTGGGAAAGTATAGTTTGTCTTTATCTAGAAAACATGGATGTTTTGCTTGTTAATTTTCCTGTTGGAACAGTGTAGATTTACCCTGAGGTTCTGGTGCCACCCCTCTGTCTACATTTGTTATTACCTGGCCACCCTTATAAAAATTTTCTGGCCACGCCTCTGTCACTAGGTATTAAGGAGGAGAGGGTCTTAGCCTGCAGGAGATGAACAGGTAACATAGCATCCAACACCAAATTATTCAACCAGCTAACAAAAAAGGAAAACTTGATTTCCCACTAATTAAACAGATATAACTTACTGTGTAAATGTGTGAAGCATTCATTTTAATACAGTGAATAAAAACAGGAAGTGTGTGGAAAACTGGCCATTATCCCAACATCTGCAGCATTTATACTCTGTGCGGCTTTTCCCCATTCATTGCCAGCTCCAGAGCGATGCACAGCACAAACAGCAAACCAACACCACACTACATGAGAAAGTGGAAAACACAATAGTTTATAACTTTTTAATAGCCTTTGTTTGCCGTCCAAGAGCGACAGTCGTTTCTTTGCATTAACTTTTCCACAATCTGTTGATAGTGGTGATATTTATGGATGTCACTGGATATTTACATTTGTGAACCGTCACCAGTAGGAGCTGTTGCTCACCCGCTATGTTTTTATCTGCGGAGGGGCGTGGAAAAAAAAGACATAATTTTCGCTGATGTGTCAAGCACAACCAACCTTCAACATTCACCATATCTTGAAACAATTGAAATTGATTAATAAAAGATCAACATAAAATTTAAAGCCATCACTTATGGTCCCAGAACAGTTTAGAAGTCTCACAGATTAGATTTTAGGTCCAAATATACCTAAAACAGTTGTAATTTCAAGACATAAAAAATATTATCACTGGAATTAAAGAATTGAAAGCATTTGAAAAAGAAGCTGGGGAATAAAAGGGAGTTGTGAATTTTTTTTTGTCATTAATAGTAGTATAGACCTTAATTTAAAAAAATGCATTCTGGGTTTAGATTAGATTAGATTAGATGAGCTTTATTCATCTCACAGCGGAGAAATTCACTCGTCACATATTGGCATAGTAATTAAAGAAGAGGTGCAAACGAGGAGGAGAAAGGTGCATTAAGAAGAATAAACAATATATATATATATATATATAGTTTATCCAGGTATATGCAGTATATCTTTGACTAATGTGAAGACAAAATCAAGAAGGAGGAGAACGCCACTGTATCTCTTTTTATAAATCCACTTTCTAATCATTACTCCTAAATAAAGGCTCATGATTTAAAAGTCTAAACATTGTTCACTTTGACTTATATTTCTCATATTCATAAAGATCCATAAAAACCAGAAACTAAAGCACACATGACTATTCTGTGAAATCTCTAGATCAGGGGTCTCTGACCTTTTGAACCTGATAGCTTTAGGGGCACAAGCTGATATCCAATTGTACAAAGTATGATTTCAGTTTAGAGAACCATACCCCCTCAATTTTAAATCCAATCAAGAGAAAATAATAATTTAATAGTAAAAAAAAAAGCCCCAAAGGTCAAAAGATGACGTCACACACGTGCTGCTTTGTTTTAAAAAGATATAAATATAAAAAATATAACCGAGGATGTCTGGGGGACAGTGATTCGCCTACATGTTATGAATGCTGGCGTACCATAAATGATAAATTAAGAACAGTTTAGTTTGTGCCTTCAAGTCGTTCCCCATAGGAAGACGTTACTTGGACATAACCTGACGGAATATCTTCAGAACGGCTCCAAATGACACAAAACTCATATGGGTGAGTAGAACATGATGTAATAATGTAAAATCAAGGGCCCAATGTGAAAAAAACGGTGTTTCCCTTTAAGCCCTTGTGCAGGTTGGGGATCTTTTTTTCAACTCATCTTCCCAGAAGAGGTCTCTCTGCTCTCACCTCCTGTGCTGCTCTGCTCTGTCTCCTACAGGTCAGGGAGAGAAGAGATTATTTTTACTGAATTCTTATAGTCAACCTTTGACAATCTGCTGTGAATGATCTCAGCTCCTGTTTCACATTGTGCAAGCAACCATGTGTAAAGTGAAAACACAGCTAATGGTCCAGAAAGAAGTAATTCACACTGAACTCTAAACAGACAGGTCCTTCATAATGCATTTAGATGAGCTAGTAGCTAAATAGCAGCATTCTTCTATAGCTGGAACCTAGCTCTTTTAACCGTGTTTGGTTTTTTGGGGTCAAATAGGGGAGAACTTGGTTTATTCATTATGTGGGACTTCGTGTTGAGGCTGGGGGCTGGAGTTAGTTATTTTGATTTGATTTGATTTTATGTATTGTATATATGTACTGGAGATTCCTTCTGCTGCAGTTGGTAATGAGCGCTGCTAGAAAAGTGGCACGGAAATCATACTCTAACAGCATATTTGGTTTGTAAATAGTTATTTTAAAAAGCAAAATAAAGGAAATTAATCGGCAGCAGAAAAGGCCAAGTCACGGGGGCTTGAGAACATTTTAGACGTTCTTTCAGCCCCCCTAAAATAGGCCTACCTTTAGAGCACTGCTCTAACCGCTAGGCCAACACTTCCCATGGGCTTTTATGGGTATTTGGGCTCTTATAGCATCGTGTCTTTATGACAACTATCACAAATTACCTAAGCTGCTGGATGTTGGACATTTGTAAGCCGGCCTACACATGTTCCTTCTTCAGGTTAATTAAAATGCAGTTAGAAGAAGTTTTTTGTTTTCTGTCTCTTTTTGTC